ATCTTGCCTTCTCATTTTATTTCATTGAGTTGATCTTTATCTCTGATATCCTTTCTTCTGCTTGGTCAATTAGGCTATTGAAACTTGTGTATGCTTTATGAAGTTCTCATGTTGTGTTTTTTCAGCTCCATCAATTCATTTATATTCTTCCTAAGTCTGTTTCTGTCAATTCATCAGACTCATTCTCCATCCAGCCTTATTCCCCTGCTGGTGAGAAACTATGATCCCTTGGAGGAGGAGAGGCATTCTGGTTTTGGGAGTTTTCATCCTTTTTCCACTGGTTTATTCCCATCTTTGTGGATTTATCTACCTGTGGTCTTTGAAGTTGGTGACTTTTGGATGGGGTCTCTGAGTGGACATCCTTTTTGTTAATGATGAAGTTATTTCTTTCTGTTTTAGTTTTCCTTCTAACAATCAGGCCCCTCTGCTATAGGACTGCTGGAGGCCCACTCCAGACCCTGCTTGCCTGGGGATCACTTGCAGCAACTGCAGAACAGTAAGGGTTGCTGCCAATTTCTTCTTCTGCTATCTTTATCCCATAAGTATACCTGCCACATGTCAGCCTGAGCTCTCCCTTATCAGGTGTCTCTTTAGATATACGGGGGTCGGGGAGCTGCTTGAGGAGACAGTCTGTCCCTTATAGGAGCTCAAGTGCTGAGCTGTAAGCTCTACTGTTCCGTTCAGAGCTGCTGGGCAGGTATGTTTAAGTCTGCTGCAGCAGAACACATAACCACCTTTTTTTCCCAGGTGCTCTGTCCTGGGACGGTGGGGCTTTATTTATAAGTTCCTGACGTGCTGCTGCCTTTTTTCACAGATGCCCTGCTGGGCAGGTATGTTTAAGTCTGCTTCAGCAGAACACATTACCGCCTTTTTTTCCCAGGTGCTCTGTCCTGGGAAGGTAGGGCTTTATTTATATAAAGTTCGTGACGTGCTGCTGCCTTTTTTTCAGAGATGCCCTGACCAGTGAGGAGGTAGCCTAGTCACAGTCTGCCAGCAGAGGCACTGCTGAGCTGCTGTGGGCTCTGCCCAGCTGCTGTGTCAACTTCCTTGCAGTTTTGTTTACAGAGGTATAGTCAGAACTGCCTCGGTAATGGCGGTGTGCCTCAGTAATGGTGGACTGTCTCTGTAATGGCAGACTACCTCGGTAATGGCGGGCTGCCTCAAGAGTGGTGAACTGCCTCCCTAGTGATGGATGCCCTTCCCCCCACAGAGCTGGACCATCCTGGGTCCAGCTGTGCTTGCTGTGAAACTCTCAATCCAGAGCATTTCAGATTGCTGGTCTTTGTGGGGGTGGGACCTGCCAAGCCAGATCACCTGGCTCCCTGTTTCAGCCCCCTTTTCTTCAGTTGAATGGGCGAGTCTGTCTCCCAGGCATTCCGGGTGCCAGTTGAAATGGCCGCCCAGATTTGTATGAGTTTTTGTGTGGAAACTGGCTGCACCAACTGAAACAGCCATACTGGTGACTCGTGGCACTTTTCCTTCTGGGAATATCCTGGTCTTTGGGCAGTAAAAATTCATTTGGAGATGTGATGATCACTCACCCTCTGCATTCTCACTGGGGACTGCACTCCAGAGCTGTTCCTATTTGGCCCTCTTGGATCCAACCATATTTTTATTTTCAATGAGTTCAAAATATTTTCTAATTTTCCTTGAGACTTCTTCTTTGATCCATGTGTGATTTGAAAGTATGTTACTTAATTTTTAATATTTGGAAATTTTCCAGCTACTTTGTTTTTACTTCTAGTTTAATTCATTATGGTCAGAGAAGAGTTTTGTATAATTTCAGTTATCTTCAAGTTTTTAAAGTTTGTTTTGTGACCAAGGATGTAGTCCATCTTGGTGAATATTCAGTGGGCATTTGACATTATTGTGCATTGTGCTGTTATTAGATGGAATATTTTATAAACATCAAATAAATCTTATAGTGTAGTTCAGTTCTTCTATATATTTGCTGATTTTCTTTCAATTAATTATCTCAATTACTGAAAGAGTAGTGCTAAAATCTTCAACTATAATTGTTGCTTTGTCTATTCCTTTCAGTTTTATCGGTTCTTGTTTCATGTATTTTAAAACTTTGCTGTTTGACATGTGTACATTGAAGGTTGTTATGTCTTCTTGCTAATATTCCTCTATCCCTGATATTTTCCTTTCTCTGAAATCTGCTTTTTCCAATATTAATAGCAACTGCAGATTTCTTTTACCTTTTCATTTAACCAACGTAGTTCACAGTAGTTAAAGTTGGATCCTTGGAAACCAAATATAGTTTAATTTTATGTATTTACCCTTTTTGACAACCTCTATTTTTTAATTTGTCTATTTAGACCATTTATACTTAATGATACGTTTGGATTTAGGTTTTCTACTTTATTATGTGTTGTGTTTGTGCCTCTGTTTCCCCTTTCCTGCTTTCCTTGCCTTTCAGAATTACATTTAAATTTGCCTATTAAGTTTTTTAGTATTTCTCCACATACCTATTTTTGTATGTATTATATGTACTTTTTTATGATCTAATCATAATGAACATTTCAAGTAGAATGAGGAAATCTTACCTCCATATAGGTACATTCACTCTCCTACTCTGTGTTGTAGTTGTCATATATTTTACATTTAATATGTCAAAAACCTATCAGGTGTTATAATTATTGATTTCAATTATTTATATTGTGAAGAACTTGAGAGAGGAACAGACTATTATCTTTATCTAGATATTTACCATTTCTATCCCTCTTCCAAGTTTTCCTCTGGTATGATTTCTCTTCCATTTGAAGAACTTCCATAGCATTTCTTTTGGAGCAAATCTGTTGGTACCAAATTCTCTTGGCTTTACTTTATTTAAGAATGTCTATATTTAACCTTCACTCTTGAATAATACTTTCATTGAAACAGAATTCTGTGTTGAAAGTTTATTTCCTTTAGTACTATGAAAATGTTGTTCCACATCCTTCAAAAATTGATGCATTACATATAAAATTCTTGCAGATTTCTCAGAAAATCTGAGAGGCAGATTTTCTGAGAAATCTGCAAGAATTTTATATGTAATGCATCACTTTTCACTAGCTACTGTCCATTTTTTTGTCTTTAATAGTTTGGTTATGTGTCTGGACTTGGATTTTCTTATATTTACCCTGTTGAGAATTCACTGAGTTTCTTGAATCAGTGTGGTTTTATGTCTTATAACAGATTTCAGAAGTTTTCATTATTTCCTCAAATATTTTTTCTGCATATTAATTCTCTTTGCCTTTTGAGACTTCAATGACATGAATGTTAGACTTTTAGGTATTGACCCACAGATCCCTGAGACACTATTCACATTTTCTGTTGTTCACACTGGACAACATCTGTTGATCTAGCTTCAAGTTCTCTGACTTTCTTCTCTGTCATCTTCATTCTGCTATTGAGTATATCCAGAGAATTTTTAACTATATTTTTTAGTCTAAAATCTTCATTTACTTTTCCTTTATATCTTCTTTTTCATCGCTGATCCTTTATATCTTTCCATTTATTTCAAAACTGTTTGCCGTTTCTTGTTAGAGCACGTTATTGTGGTTGTTTTCTCATGTGGAGTTGGCATCTGTTTATTATCTTTTCCGTTTCAAATTAAGATTGTCCTGAGTCTTCCTAGCTAAGTAATTTTCAATTGTAGCTTTTGTAATGCTATACAGAAATGCCCTGCATGTGCACCACCCAGTGGCCAGTCTGGAACCTGGGCATTAGTCTACCCCATAGTTTACTTCCTGAAGACTGTGGCATGATGTGTAGAATAAGATCTATGCATGCACATTTCAGAGGTAACCACAGGAATCCATTTACAACTTTATGGAATTGCCTTCTTGAGCTCCTCATCATGACCCATTTCTCATTTCTCTACCCCAAAAGCTGGTGCTTCAGTTTCCTCACTCTGCCATATAGGTTCCACAACTGTGTCTGCATCTGGGGCAAATCAACAGAAAACAGAGAGGAAAAAAAAAAAAAAAAAAACAAGGAATATTTGCCCCCACATTCTTGGGATTATAACTTCTCTGATAGAAGAAAATAGCTATCTTTGCCCCAAAGTTGTAGGTGCCTGCCTGGCCACCAACATCACTGCAGCCATTCTACCAACAGAATTGCCTAGGGACTGAGTTGGGAAATAACATAATAAAGTGGGGGGAAAACAATAACAAAAGATTTCTTTCACTCTCTCTGACTCTTAGGGGTTCCCTTTCTCACTTTGCAAGCTAGAAAGAGGATTTCTCTTGAGTACTTTTTTTCTGCATCCACTGTTCCCTTCTGGGTTTAGGAATGCCTTTAAGTCCAGTCTAGATGATAGCAGAGGGGAAAAAGAATGGTAAATTCACTGCCAATTTGCTAATACTTTAAAAATTCTTCTCAGTCTTTCCCCGTTATTCTATTATTTATTTTGCAGGATTCTCTAATAGTTGCCCTTTGCATTCTGTACAGTGTTTAAGGTTGCATTCAGTGGGAGAGACAGGGCTGAGTGTGCTTTACTCCATCTTGCCTGATTCTGGGAACTATCTGCTTGGTTTCTTGTTGTTTTGATGTAAAGAAAATGGACGCAGTGGCTCACACCTGTAATCCCAGCACTTTGAGAGGCCAAGGTAGGTGGCTCATGACTCAGGAGTTTGAGACCAATCTGGCCAACATTGTGAAACCCTGTCTCTATTAAAAATACCAAAATAAATAAATAAATAAATTAGCCAGGTATGGTAGTGTGCGCCTGTAATCACAGTTGCTCGGGAGGCTGAGGCAGGAGAACTGCATGAACCCAGGAGGCAGAGGTTGCAGTGAGCCGAGATTGCACCATTGCACTCCAGCCAGGAAGCCCAGGCAACAGTGCAAGAGTCCAAATCAAAAAAAGAAAAAAGAAAAAAAAAAAAACAAGGATGATTTGTATGCACGAAAGAAAGTTCTAAAACGGTTTTGTTATTCAATCATCAGTCATGATTGCACCCCTTCCTGGCAGCATCTGGCTGAGAATGTCATCTCGTTTTCCTTTGTAGGAACACAACTGACTGTGGAAGTCCACCCTCGAGATGCCATGCCCCAGCTGCTCAAGAAGTTCTCCTTGGCTAAACGTATGTATGACACATGTACTCATGGTACAGGGCTGGCAGAGAGGATTGAAGGTAACTGGTTGGGCCAGATCCCAGCCCAAGCATCTTCTGAGGGAAGAAGAAGAGTGACATGAGCCTGCAAACTGGGAAAAGGCAGAAGCATGACAGCTTCATCCTGGGAGGCTCTTTTCTCCACACCCAGCTCCCACTGATTTTGCATCTCTGGAATTAGTCATAGGTAACACAAGACATTTAGCTGGAGATACACTGACTGCATCACAAGATTGTTGTTGCTGTTGTTTTTAGATACCATTGGTTGACTGCCCAAAAAGTGGCATGCAAAATGCTAAGTACTTTGTAACATTTATTAACTTTTTAACCTTCTGATGCATACGAATATCATCCCCACTTTTTAGATCAGCAAAGTGAGGCTCAGAGAGGTGAAGTAACTACCCAAGTCACCCAGCTGGCAAGTGGGTGAGAACCTGTGGTCTTAACCACCATGCCTCTCAGCCCTCAGTGCAGTGCACATAGGCTCAGGCCCAGGACCAGGATGTCTCCTCCACTCCCTTCTCAGTCCTCTCCCTGCATCTGTCTGCCTTATGGCTAAATAGGGGCCTCAGAAGGAATGCAGGTTAAGGAACAGAACCTGCAGAACAACTGAGGCTCAAGCCCTCTTCATGTCTATGCAGTGAGCCAAAGTCCTCCAAAACTATCTGGTCCTGTAGTCATCAGCAGTCAGGATCTCAAGAGAGCAGTCTAGCATAAAGAGGGCAAGCTCTAGGGTCAACTGACTGGGTTCATGTTTCAGCTGTGTGACCTTGGGCCATTGGCCTAACCCCTCTTTTGAACTCAATTTTCTCATGTATAAAAGGAGGAAAATAAGCACATCTCCCTCATAAGATTATTATGAGATTAAATGAGAGAGTAAATATAAAGTCCAAGCCAGGCATAGTAAGTATGTAATAAATGCTAGCTACCATTTTGAACACCTATCATTCTATCAAAAATGCAGGTGGAAAAAAATGTAGCTGTGATATACAAAATGTAGGTGTGAGAAATAAAAGCAGCACCGTTTCTCAGAAAGACCCGTGTGTGGTTACAACCTTCCTGTGTTATATTTCACAGCCTAAAGTGGCCTTCAGGGTCATAAAACCACCTGCCTTGGCATCCCCACCCTCAATTCCCCCTGATCCCATCAGGGACCCAAATCTTCCTGACCTCACTCCAGATCAGCAGGAAAAGTTCCTTTCCTCTGGCTCAGGGAGTCTAATAACTATTGGCTACCATTCTGCCTTTACAGTCCACAATGTATAAAATTCAGTTGGCCTTGAATCCTCTCAAGGAATCATTTAATTATGATCTGACCTTTCTAGGTTTTGACCTCCTCACAAACTGCTTTCCCCTCCCTGCATCTTTGTTTCCATCCATGGTCTGTTCTCATCCTGGGGTTATCTGGCAGTGGATTCATGAAAGCAGGAAAATCCAAAAGAGGGCAGGAACACCAGGTTCCAGAGCAAATGCTAACTCCAGTTGCATAATGCAGCTCCCTTTCTTGTCATCCACTTCCTGGCTCTTAGTTTTCCCTCTGCCACACTAGGAAGTTCCTGGCAATTCCAGCAGCAATTCAGTGGTCAATGGGGTGGGAACAAGGAAGCTATGAAAAGGAGAGTAAAGAGGAGGGGTCAAAAGCAAGTACCACCACATGGTGAGTCATCAGTGCTTGCATTTCTGTTTCTTCTGAAGTAATTATACTTCTGATCTTTGGAATATTGTAGGTTTACAAGGTGATAAAAATGGAAACACAAGACCCCGGCAACCTGGAGGGAAAGACGCCCATGGTAAGTTCCAGAGTCTTCCAGGGAAATTCTTAAGAAAGCACATAGGTTTAGCCTTATAGCCTAATCTCCAATCAATTGGCAGTCACTTCCTGGGTCTCTGTCTGAGAGGCTGGGGCCACCTTTGGGTTCGGGAGGGGAAGTGTCATGATTGATTAGCAGTGTCTGCCATGGACAAAGATGGAGAAGGAAAAAGCTCATGCACCAGATGTCATCCCAAAGCTAAAGAATAAACCCCACCAATAACAAGGCAGACCATTACAGGAAACATATTAAAACCATAATTCAGGATTATATTAACTTTAAATTGAATGCCAAATGTCTGTAAGGTAGGAGGCATGTGAGTAAGCAGAGTGAGGCAGAGGAAGAAACACGGAGAGGGATGACAGACAGCCTGCATTGGAATCCTGGTTTTGCCCCTCATTCGCCTTCCCTGTGCCTCGGTTTCCCCCTCAGTAGGCCAGATGTTATCCAAGGCTGGGTGCAGCTCCATACTTCTTCCTATTGTTTTGCTTTAAAATCATAATAATTTGGTTAATGACACTGATATTTTAAATGTATTTATGTAGAACCATATTTAGATCTTATATAATCTGCTTAGAGGTAGAATTAATGAGGCATAAACCATGAGCATTTTTAATGTTCAGATATTGGAAAATGAAACCAAGAAAGGGGAAAACTAGTAATAGAGTTTTCAATACCATTTTAGAAATGCCATTTTTATTCTAAATAGGTGTGCAGGGAGACCTCATTTGCAGAGTTATACTGAGTGGAAATTTGTTCAATGTGTGAGTCCACTTTGAATGCACTTAAGTCACCTTGATGGCTCTTGTGAGAGAATGGTAGGAACAGATTCTGCAGAAGAGGGAAGGCTCAGCAGGGGCCTGCCTGAGTATCCCCCGTCTTCTCCGGTTGCGCTTGGACCACGCAGGACAGGGGCTGATGACATAAGTCATGGTGGCCAGGCAAGAAACCCCTGGGCCCAGATATTGGTCAGCTCCCCAATAAGTGGGCATTGCCTCTCAAACTGTGCTGGCCAGAAGAGGGTCATGAAGGAGTTGGGTCCAGGTCTAGAGGTGACACACACCCCTTCCTACATTCTCCCTACATCTCTTGGGTCTAATAACACCAGAGTAAGGGACTCTCATCAATAATGGCAGCCCTGAGGATGTACGGGCAAATGCACCTGCAGTGTCCCCACCAGACAGGGAGGCCACATGTCCCTCCCTACATGTACCTGTAGAGAAACCCCACACCCTCCACCCTCCCAGACAACAGTGTGACACTAACATCACAACATGATTCACCATCTCATTCATGCTCCCAGGAATCCCACAAATCTGTGCCTAAGGCCAGGTGGCTGGGTCCAGTCCCTCCCAGCAAGGTAGAGGTCAGGACCAGACTAGAACCAAGGGAGAAATGCAGCCCCATCAGGTGCTTCCTAACATGGCCCTGCTCTTCCCAGTCTTCCTACTGTACCCTGGGGCCTCTCCAGCACACCTCACCTGCCCAGCACCCAGAGGCTCCCAACATGGAGGCTGAGAGGTGGGTGTTGGGTTCACCCGGGTCAGGGGCTCAGTTCCTCTTTGACCCCAACTTCTTCCCACTCCTACCCTGTTTTTATACCCAGCTTCCTTGATTTTGATCTGCCTGACTCTGGGACCCTTGGATAAGAAGGGCTCTGCCAGAGCCAAGACTCTCTTCTGGGCTGGGACAGGGGTCTGCTGTCCATGTATCTGCTGGTCTGACCATTGGCCAGGCAGCCCTCCCAGCAGCAGCTGATTATGGCTGTCCTCTGTCCAGTGGGAAGCCTGCGTAATTGCTGGCCCTGCATTAACGTTTGTCTTGAGTTTTCTCTCCTTCCTATAGCTTTGTCTTAGTGACCTAACTCATGGCTTGGTCTCTGGGAAAAAGGCTCCCTGTGAGTAAGGCTAGGCATAGATGAGTGATTCAGAGGCCCAGCCTTTCTCAAGGCCCTGTTACCAGAACACATGGTTGAGATGCTCAAGTCTCCAGTTGACCATGGGCAAAAAAGGAAATCTGTCTGGGTGCCAAACACACCTCACCCTGCAGGACCCAGATGGCCTGGCCTTTCCATGCCCTCCTCCACCCCAGTGCTATGGCTGTGGCACAGACCTCCCTCCTTGAACTTGTCAATTCGAGCAGCAATGCCTGGACACTCCAAAAAAGCATTCATTCCTGGGAAAAATAACAGGAATCCACAGAAAACCAAATGATGGGGAAAGGAGATTCCATCATTAATATGTCTGGGAACTGCTGGGTTAACTGAGGTCAAGCTCATTTCCTACTTCTGACTTCTCAGAGTCTGCAATAGGCATATGCTTCCTGTAGACCTCTAAGAGGACAATGGGAGTTTCCACAGTTCCCAAACTAACTTGATCAGGAGACCCTTCTAGGAGAGTTCCCATATAGCTCTTAGGCTCAATGTTTCAGGCTTTGAAAACTGTGTTCAGGGCTGGACAGTGACAGCTCCTCAAAGAGACAGAAGGCCTAGGCCAGGCAGCCCTCCTCGGTGGGTCTCAGCTGCTGACCAAGCTGCCCTGTGTTTCCAGCCTACCCCTGGGATCGATCCAGCCTGAAATCCATGTCCCTGGACCTGCAGCAGTTTGAGAAACTGGATATCTATGCCTCACAGGTAGGAGAGTTGACCCCTCTGACTATGAACCCCGTCAAGGTGGCTTAGAGTTCTAGGGCAGCAAAGCCTCCCTCCAGACACCTCCTGAACATATCCTGAGTCACTTGATTGGATAGCCCTAGAATGCCTTTTCATAGCATATGGATGGGGACAGAAGGCGAAAAGCAGCAGCCCCTGCCCAGGGCCAGAGGCCATTCCATCCCCCACCCCACCCACGATCTGGTTGTTCCCACTCCACACTGCACACCCTGGAGCTCTTCATTGGCAGGCTCCTCCTGCCAGCCCTGACCTGCCTTCCCCATGTCCCTTTCGGCATTGCTGCTCCTAAGCTATGCCCCCCTCCAGTTAATGGAGGAAGGGAGGGAGAGGATGGGAGGACCATGGATGAGATGGCCAGGACCACTGTGACCACAGCTGTGCTCACCTCTGAAGGGCATGAGTTGCCAAGCTCTCATGCCTCTGGGACTGGGCATGTCTCAGGTGCAGGTGGGAGGGGCAGATGAACAGCTGAACCACTAGGGACATATGGAAGTCACTGGAGCCAGGCAGGAGCTTCAGCAGAGTCTGATAGGAGGAACAAGGTGCTGAACCCTTTTGTGAAGTCAGGACATTAAGTGGTCTTAGAAAGACCACCTTGTAGGTACTCAGGAACCTTGTTTGTTGAAATGATGAGTGGATGGCTGGGTGCACGGGTCAAGAAAGTCAGATGAGAAGCAAGGACATGAGTTGAGGACATCCACCTGTCCTGGCAGAAGACATGACCTGGATTAAGTGGAGACACTTAGGAAAGAGAGGAGTGGAAAGGCCAATTCTGAGCTAGGGGCAGAGGGGAAGAACTCCATCACCCGTTGGTGTGGAATGGGTGGGAGGTGGGGGAGAGGGGATCCCAGATGACTGGATTGACTCCTGGAGGGTGGGTCAGTGCCTCACCATGAGGAGCAAAGGAGAAGGAGCAGGTTTTAGGGAATGAGTGTGTTTGGGATATGAGGGGCTCTGGTGTCTGCGGCACATCCAGGGGAAATGCCCCCAGGGCAGCTGAATATACAAGCCTGGAAAGGTCTGGGCTGAAGATTCTGATTGGGAGTCATCAGATTTAGTCAAGAGCTGAAGCCATAGGATGGGCATCCTATTGCAGGGGTGGGGAAGCCCATAGGGCCTGGAGCCATCAAAAAGGCTAGGGCAAGGCCAGGAAGGGTCAGAGTTCTGGAAGGTTCAGGGAGGTGCTCCCTGGGGCAGGTGTGGTTAACAGTGTGAGCTGTGCTGTCTGCTTAAGTGAGATCAGGACAGACGCATCAAAGTGCACCTTACCTCCAGAGGGGCAGTGCAGAGTGGCTAGAGGCCTCGGGTCTCAGGTGGGTGGAAGAGCAAGCAGGAGGTAAGGAGTGTGGAGTGGAGAGAAGACCCCACAGGAGCCTGCAGAGAAGGGGAGGCTAGAAGAGCAGAACTGAGGAGACTGGGAGGGCATCCAAAGGTAGGGGAATAAGGTGATATGGGGCAGCCAGGAAAGGAAGGGAGGAGGTGAGGACGTAGGAGAAGGAGGGCATTCATTGAAGAGGGGAAGTCCCTGCAAAGGCAGAAGACCTGAGACATAGAGATGGCTGAAGCAAGAGGAGAGGATGAGGCTCTTAGTGAGGCAGTCCCACCTGGCCTGTTGAGAAGTAGAAGCCAGGCCATTTCCTGCCATTTCCTGCAGCGGGGTCAGGAGTCTGCAAAGGGCAGGGAATTTTGTAATGGCCATCAAAAGGGATGGGACAGGCTGCCGGCCAGACTCAGAGAACAGTGCCAGGAAGCCAGTGGAGGCCAGAGACCCAGCCACAGAGCATGGAGGCACCAGAGCAAACCAGGCTCAGGTGGGACCAGGAGGTGGGAACCAAAGGTCCAGAAGCCATGGCACTGAAGTACAAGGCTAAGTCAGGACTCCAGGCTGCAGTGCAGACCTGCAATGCTGAGCACCATTTGGGGCCCTAGGAGGGGGACAAGGACAAAGTCTGCAGAGTTGAAGCTGAACACAGAAGGAAATGAAACAGAAAGCAGTTGAGAGAGTAGGACAGGGGCCCAGAGGCCTCCAGAGGTCAGAGTGCCAGTGTGCTGAGCCAGTGGTCAGCAGGTAGGTCCTGGAGTCCCTTGTGAACAGTGAGATGGTTCCAGCTGAAAACAACGTCCTGGAGTACCCTTAAGCTGGGGTCTGAGTGGAGCGCGGGCATCTTGGCAGGACCCAGTGTCCCAGCTTCTCTACAGAGATTAAACATGGTCAGGGCCACCTTTTTAACAACCTCAGCCCTATTTCCCTGAGGGCCCCTGTGAAGAAAGCTAATTTGTCCTTTTTTTAACTATGATAAAATAACATAAAATTTGCCATTTTAATAATTTGTATGCATACAATTCACTAGCATTAATTATATTCCCAATGTTGTACACTCATCACCCACAACAGAAACTCTGTACCCATTAAGCAATGAAATTCCCATTTCTCCTTCCCCAGCCCTTGGTAATCTCTACTTACTGCATATTAACTTTCCTATGCTAGATTATTTCATGTAAGTGGAATCATACAATATTTGTCATTTTGGGTCTGGCTTATGCCACTTAGCATCATATTTTCAAGGTTCATCCATGTTGTAGCACATATAGAACTTGATTCCTTCTTTTTATAGTTGAATAATATTCCCTTATATATGTTGTACATACTCTATTTTACTTATCCTTTCATTCATGGACGGATGTTTTTTAACATTTTGGCTATTGTGAATAGTGCTGCAGTGAACTGGGAAACAAGTGTCTGTTTGAGTCCCTCCTTCAGTTCTTTGGGGTGTATACCTTGGAGTGAAATTGCTAGATCATAATTCTACATTTAACTTTTTGAGAAACTGTAAAAATGTTGTCCACAGCAGCTGCACCATTTTACATTCCCACCAGCATCGTACGAGGGTTCCAATTCCTCCATAGTCTTGCCAACACGTTATTTTCTGGTTTCATTTTTCAATAGCCCATTCTAGTAGGTCTGAAGTGGTATCTCATTGTGGTTTTGATTTACGTTTCTCTTGTGACTAAGGATGTTGAGCATTTTTTCATGTGCTTATTGGCCATTTGTGTATCTTCTCTAGAGAAATGTCTGTTCAAGTCCTTTGCCTCTTTTTGAATTGGCTTGCTTTTGTTTTTGTGGCATTGTAAGAGTTCTTTTTATGCTCTGGATATTTAACCCTTATTGGATATATGATTTCCAATGTTTTCTCTCATTTTGTAAGTTATCTTTTTGCTTTCTCAATAATATTCTTTACTGCACAGAATATTTTTATTTTCATGAATGCCTTTTTATCTATTTTTTCCTTTGTTGCTTGTGCCTTTGGTGCCATATCCAAGAATCCATTGCCAAATCCAAGGTCAGGAAGATTAACCCCAGTGCTTTATTCTAAGAGTTTTATGGTTTAAGCTCTTATATTTGAATCATTGATCCATTTTGAGTTGATTTTTGTATATGGCATGAGGTAGAGATCCAATTTTATTCTTTTGCATGTGGAAACCCAATTGTCCCATCACCATTTGTAAATGGGACTATTCTTTCGCCGCTGAATGGACTTGACACCCTTGACAAAGATCAACTAACCATGGATATGTGGGTCTATTTCTGGTCTCTCAGTTATATTCCATTGGTCTATATAATCTTTATGGCAGTACTAAACTGTTTTGATTACTGTAGTTCTACAGTAAGTTTTGGAAATGGTGAGTTTGTGTCCTTCAAATGTGTTCCTTTTTTAAAATTGTTTTAGCTATTTGGAGCCCCTTGGCATCCATAGGAATTTGAGAACTGACTTTTCCATTTCAGCAAAAAAGGCTATCAGAATTTTGATAAGGATTATGTTAAATCTTTAGTACTGACCATGACCAGGCAATGCTACAGCTATCCAGATGCCTGCCTGGCTGGCCCCCAGATCTTCAGAGAAAAGCCATGGTGGATCTAGGGCCTGTGATTGAGGTGGTCGGCACCACCTGTCCTGTCCAACTTCTCCCACCTCCTCCCAATTTGTCCTCAGCTAGCCTTTGCCCCTGAGAGCCTCTCCTGTAGCTTCTCTGCCTGGAGAAAGAGCAGCACTCGCTATAGGTGCTGGGCCCCCACTAGCCCCTCCTCGAGTTCCTAATACAGCATGCCCTTCCTGCTCCCCAGGTGACAGCCAAGAGTGGCCTGGATGAACTGGTGAGTGACCTGCTCCAAGAGGCCCACACTGACCTGGAAAGAGTCCGTGCCATCTGGATCTGGATTTGCCATCACATAGGTAGGTCCACCTGTGGCACCGCAGGCTCTAGAACCCCTTACTGCAATTCCCTGCAGGCCCCTGCTCCTATCAGCTTATTCATGTGTACAGAGTGACATGAAAGGTGGGAGAGAAGGACCCAGAGACGGGACGGATGAACCAGAGAGTAACCAAGGAGGATAAAATCCACTATGTGCTATCAGTCTCCATGAAAGTCAGAGGAGAATCCCTTGCAGCCTTCTGCCCACAGCCAGTGCCTAGAGCTGGGACCTTCATTCAGCAGCAGCCTTCCCTCTGTCCCAGCCTTCCCTCTGTCTCATCACCACAGAGATGAGAGCCCAGGACAGCAGGTCATCTCCAAAAAGGATGATCATTGGTGAAGAAAAATTGCAGCTGTTTGATAAATGATCACAATACCAGAGGGTTTATTAAATACCTTTGCCAGGAAAAGCAGGTTCTCCACTTCCTGCTCCCACCACACTAGCAACATTGGCCACTGGTCCCAGCCCAGTCTCCAGGGTTCCTGCAGCTACCTGAGATACCTCGGCCTATGCAGCTGCTGTCCACAGCTCTCCACAGGATGGCCTTGGGAAGCTCCCAGGTCAAGCAGAGCTGCAGAGGTGGTGGCTAAGGGATGCTGCCCCTTGCTGCCTTGCAAACACAAATGAGAGCAGGCAGGGCCAGATCTCGAGGCAGACTCCTAGTCCTTTGACATAAAGACCAGCCAGGCCTTTCTCAACCTGCTGCCACTGGGCTTTTCTTTTGTTCTTCTGGAACAACAGTTGGGAATGTAGCTTATAGAATGAGCTCACCTGGCACAGGTAGGAGGTCCAAACCGAGGACCTGAGAGACCCCCAGCTCCCATCGCAACTCCACCAGCTGTGCCTGTGCCTCGAAGGCGTAGGTCAGAAATGGGACCTTTATAGGACTTTGTTACTACTCCTGTCCCCATGCCAACACACACAGACACAGTCCCTTTGGGTTCTCAGTGGGTACAGAGACTTCTGTCTTAGGGCCTCACCACAGACCTCAGGCTTCTTCACAATGTCTGCATCCCCTCCTTAGCGAGGTGACAGGCTATGGGAGAGCAGCCTTCTCCATTTGGGGATGAGCTCAGAGTGCCCCATGGGTCAGTGTGAGGCCTTCGAGCTGCAGGACAGGATGGATGATTTCACTGGAACTGTGTGCAGAGCTGTATGGTGGGGATTAGTGGAAAGAGCCCCTGCCCCTGCACCGTCGTGGTCCCTTCTCCTGCTAGCCCCTCCTCAGAGGCTTGGGGAGCCAGGTGGCCCCCTCTGCCAAGGCCTTCTCCTCCTCTTACCACTTGCACAAAGAGGTGACAGTTCCCAGATCCCATTTGGGCTGGGGCTGTAGCTCCACTAAGCCCACTGTGGTTTCCCAGGGCTGGTGCTGGCCAGCACACAGCTGGGGGTGGGGGTGGAACCTTTCACCTCCCAGGCTCAGGTTCCTCATACCCTCCCCTGCACTGCAGAGTACGACATTGTGGCTGCCCAGGAGAAGGACCGCCAAGTCTTCAAACCCACTGACATCCTGCGGACCCAGAAAACCAACTGTGATGGCTACGCTGGCCTCTTTGAGAGAATGTGCAGGTACAAGAGATAGAAGTCCCCATGCTGACCACTGGACTTGGTCCCTCTCCCTCTTCCAAAGTGCCGTGTGCCTTTGCCCGCATGCCAGGCCTGAAACCTGAGTTTGCAAACTCTGCTCTGGAACCCAAGTGAGTCCTGAAAAGGTCAATTTCTCCCTTTTTAACACCAGCATAATTGACTTTGTACCATCTGCCGGGCTTCGCGATGCATTAACATAATGGCAGATGAATGCACAGAGATAATTTGGTTATAAAAAGCCCTTTTTCCGCCTTCTCCCCTCTCTATGCAGCTGAAGGTTAAAAGAATGGCAGGCCTGGGAGCGGGAGGACAGTGGCTGCAGATGCCAAGGGGACTGTGAAAGGCTGTCCTCAGGGCTGACACAGGGGGCCTCTTTTTGGGGAAAACAAAAGATCTCCCACCTGAAAAGATCTGTCAGTTGGATAGCTGAAGCACTAGGGAGCAGCTTCTCTTGGGGTCACTGGGCTCCATTTTCAGCACTCTGGCAGTGGGCATATGGCCAGGTTGCTGGGGTGGGTGACAGCTCTGGCCTGAGCAGGAGAATGGCCCACTGCTGGTTCCCAGAGACTCAAAACAAGCTCAAGATGGGGAGTGGGGGGAAGGGACTGCCACTGACCCACACAGCTTCCTGAGCTCACTCTCTGAGGTCTGCTGGGTTCCTCCAGAAAAACAGTCAGCTAGCCCTAGAGCCATAAAAGAACCCCTCTCCGGGGGCAGATAAACAGCTGCCCACTGTCTCTGTAGGTCTCTGGGAGTAAGTCTTCACAGGCACCCAGATGTCAGCCCACCAGAACTGCAGGTGGCAATTCATTAAGCCAAGCGTAACACTTAGTCCACAGGCAGGCAGTTGTGATGGACTCAGTGTTGCACGGGCGACAGCTGCTGGCCACTGGGTGCATGCAACCTATTCCTGGCCCAACCCCTGTTGTCCTGCCTCCTGTCCCCCATTACCACTGCCAAGCACAGGCACATACCCGGCTGCTGAGTTGCTCCAACCCTCCTGCTCTGCTCCCTGTTCTTCCCTTTTCTCACTTCCAAGGCCAGTCCCTGAGACCACAGCCCCAGAGGCAGCCATGGCCGGTCAGGGTACAGAAGATGCCACCCTGGCTGCTTCCCATCCACTCTTCCTGCCACCCCCTACCCCAGACACAAGCATACCCCCTACTGCCTGTGGGCTTCTCCAGGAGCCTGGATCCTTGCTGGCCTCTCTGCCTAGGCCCCCCTGGCCCTGGGTTCCTGAACACCAACCACTAAAGGATCACACTGTCCGTCAAAGTCCTCCAAAATCTGACCTCAGCCAACTTTCCAGCCCTGCACTGTGTGACACCAGCTGCCTGCCCACCTCTGCGTGTACCCCTGCTCCCTCTCCCAGTGCTCCTTCCAGGCCCCTCTCCAGGATGGCCCACCACCTTCCCCTTCCTTGGTGCCCCCAGCCCAGCTATACACCAACTCGTGTGTTGCCTTAGGCTTTCAATTAATAACATTTTTAAATTTAAAAATATCATTCATTGTAGATGGTTTATAAAATGCACTAAAGCAAAAAGAAGAAATTGTTACTCTGAACCTCACCACTTAGAGCTAACCCTGCTAACATTTGGTCATATTCCTTTCCAGACTGTGTTCTGTGCATACAAGAATTACCTGTGCTCAGTTCTTGTTATATATCCTACCGGTTGTATACATCTATATTTGCCTTTATCTCCTCTCTCCTTTTGCCTCCCGTGAATCCTACACCCAGTAGGCCTTCAATAGACACATATAGGAATGACAGGAAATGAAAGGATATTCCTAGCAGACTTGTGTGGAGTGGGGCTTATTCTCTTTTAAATGATGAAACAGCCACAAGTCTTTTAGCTCCATTTGTGCCTAGCATCTTTCAGAACATGATTATTTTCATCTGATTCTGCAAATCTGAAAATGTTTAGTATTTTTTCCAAGTTCCAGGATATATCCCTCTTTATCCAGTATAAGCTTTCTAGCATACTATAGAAGGAAAGCCAGATTCGAAGCTAGAAAGACCAAAGTCCACTGCTTAGAATGGTGTCACCTCCTTTATCCCGTATAAGCATCCTCGCATCCTTTAGAAGGAGTGCCAAAGTTAAAGCCAGAAAGACCTGGCTCCCAGTTTTTGATTCATAACCTATAGTTTTGTTCCTTTTGTAAGGCACTTAACCTCCTGCAGCCTCAGTGTTCTCATCAATGTACTGGAGACTAGATTGCCTGCCTGGCAGGGCTATAGGACTCAGTGACACTTCAGTTTGGGATTTGCCAAGCTGATTTGGGGGTGCTTGTTTTTTAACCTATCTTGTCTTTCTTGGGTATTAAAGTGCTTTTCCTCTGTGGAACTTTCCTACAGACTCTGCCAGCCTATAGATTCAGAAAATTGACACTTACCTTGAGTGAAACTGTCAGCGTTTTGGCCTGGTCCAGATACTTAACAATGGCCCTATTCTGGCCTGCAGCTGATCATTAAAACTCTCCCTAACATTTTGCATCATTTAAAGTTAGTTCCAACATGGTGATTACTGTGTGCAAAATTTCTCACACCGCCTGAGACGTGTAACAATAGCTCACAGTCCCCTGAATTCCTTTAACTTTTGCTTTAAAGATCACTAACCTACCCATGAATCCCTCTACTAACTCTCTTTACCTTTAAAATAACTGCCGAAAATTTGGTAAATTAATTAGCTAATTCCTTAATAACTGAGGACATGTAATCCACACTTGCTGATTTATCCCTGCTTGGTTGTCGGGGTGGCTTCTTAGAAAGAGTTGTGCCCACAACCATCATTACTTCTTGCCAGTCCATTCCAGTTCCCTGAAATTGCCTCACTAAGGACTGATTTAATAAAGTAATTTGGTGAGGAATTCAGACATTTTCATGACATCATTCATTTCCTTCTGTCTTTCCCAAGTCACTGATGTGGAGTTTTTGGGTTAGTGCTATAGCTTGTAACTGCTGGTCCAGTTTCCTTCTGACTTTCTATCATCCAGCATTAATGTCTCTCTTTTTGCCTCAATTGCCCACATTCTTAATTGATTCTGCCTAATCGCAGGAGCCAAGCTTAATTCCCCAGATTCCTGCCACTGAGTCAACCTCTAATAAATTCCCTTCCCATCAGCATGGCTTTAGCATCACCAGCTAGCAGGTTTTTCGGAGACTTTGAATGAAGCCAGGAGCTTATTACCAGTTTGACGCTGAGGGAGCTGGTTGTCACCAATGAGATGTCAGCTAGCTTTTCACTCATCCTCTAGCTGTCACAGAGAGCAGGGGGAGGAGTGTGTATAGTCAGATGGCTGCTTCTGGTTAGCAGTATGATGTTCCCTACAATCCTAAAACATCACTTGGTTCCAAAGGCCCCAAAAGATATGGAGTGGCCATCTAAGCCTCCTGGGAGATGCAGGTTCATTGGATAACACTAAATTATCACCAAATCTGACACTGGTGTATAAGGCCTCTAAAAGGGACATCCTAACTCCCTCACCCATATAGTCTTTTAGCTCCATTTGTGCCTAGCATCTTTCAGAACATGATTATTTTCACCTGATTTTGCATATTTGAAAATGCTTAGCATTTACACCAAAGGATGACACTCACAAAGATGAGTTATGTCACTGGAGCAAACCATCTTGTCATTTCACTCTCTATACCGCCTATAAGCGTATAGACCAAAGCAAAATCTCGATTTACAAAAGAGCTGGTGCAACACAAAGGTTCCTGAACTATGCATCAGGACAACTGCATCTACTGCTGCTTCTGCCACTTCCAGGCCAGGCAGCCTCTCTCTCTAAACAGCTTACGCCTCTCTTACCTGTTGGAGAGGAGGCCTCTGAGGTCACGTCTTGTGAGGTTTTGCACGGAGCCCTGGAGACAGAATTATTATCAAGATTACTATTTATTGACCTAGCCACCAGGGTAGTGTGTAAGAAAAGGGAAACGAGAGCACATGGGAGAAATATAAAGACACTGTCAGATTGTAAGAAATCAACGCCGGGTATGGTAGCTCACGCCTATAATCCCAGCACTTTAGGAGGCCGAGGCGGGTGGATCACCTGAGGTCAGGAGTTCAAAACCAGCCTGGCCAACTTGGTGAAACCCCATTTCTACTAAAAATTATCTGGGTGTGGTGGTGGGCCCCTGTAATCCCAGCTACTTGGGAGGCTGAGGCAAGAGAATCACTTGAACCTGGGAGGCGGAGGTTGCAGTGAGCGGAGGTCCTGCTATTGCACTCCAGCCTGGGCAACAAGAGCAAAAATCCACCTCAAAAAAAAAAAAAAGAAAAGAAAAGAAATCAAGTACATAAATTGTGAAAAATAAGTCATGGTTTGTTTGTCTTGCTACAGTATAGAAACCACAGTATTTTCAACAAAATACCAAAAGAAAAGCATGCTTCATTGTCTCTCCCGCAGCCACGGTCCCTCCCTTTTTCCCCCACTTGGCTCAGACATCCTGGGAGGGGCGATCAGATTTGGGAAAGTCTATTGTGGCCAAAGCCCATTGGTGTAGGGTGCACCTGCCCACCCAGACATTTCAGCCACACTGCTGCTGGGGCCTGGCATTGGTGCTGGCTGTAGCAGCATCACATAGTTCCTATGGCAGGGCCTGGACCATCTCAGTACAAAATAATACCAAATTAATACCCTAGGATACACTGCACCAAGCCAGAACACAGAGATCTTTTTAAATAATAAGGATAATGCATTCATAGAAGACTCAGCAGCTTCAGGGATCAAGGGTAACCCAGGTAATGACACTGCCTTCTGCTTGGCTGCTCAGTCTCTTCCCATCAGGCCACATTTGGTAGCCATGTGGTCCTTTGCGGCCCTCAGGGCTTCTCTGATGGAGCCCCTGAGCCATCAGGCCACATTTGGTAGCCATGTGGTCCTTTGCGGCCCTCAGGGCTTCTCTGATGGAGCCCCTGAGCCCTGAAATTTGCTGGAGAGGGGGATGCAGCTTTCTCCAAATCCTCCAGGGCGCTCCATGGAAGCTTGTTCAGGGCATCTTGTATCTACGTTTTCATTGTGGCTTTGGATACATATCAGTCATGAGCTGTGGAGGTGGCATTGAGGTTGTCAATTGTGTAAAGCAGAAGCGAAGATTCTGCAGTCTGAGGTTGTTAAATAAATCTCCTTGGGTGATATTTTAGGCTCTGGGATGGCTAGTCAGAGCTCTTCAGGAAGTGCAAATGTTTCTAGTGCTCTGCCTCTCCTTCAATGCTCTCTCAGCTCCTGCCTGCAAAGTTAATTCCTCCACCTTTGGGCTCTCCAGGGCTTTGCATATAGACTGGCATTATATAAGCAAAGTTCTGGAGACAGTTCCAGTGACAGTTCCCATATCCACCCTCCTTCCAACTATCAGCACGTCTAGGGCGGCCACTGAGCCTTATCTTTGGGATACTATATTTTATTATGTTGTTACATTGTGTTGCGTTGCATGGTGCCGTGACATGTTATATTATTCCCTGGTGCCTGCTACTGTGCTTTACACACAGTGTGTGTGGTCAGTGTTCGATGACATGAAAGAGTTGTGGTTCATCCTGGCTAGCAACAATGGCTGGAGACAAAACTCCTATGAGTTCCACAGTTATCCTATATTACAGATTATTTTGCACAAGAATTGTGGAGTATTAACAATAATGCTTTACATTATGATTTTCTTTGTCCCATTCATCTTGCACATTGCTTCCAGGTAATAAAATGTCCTCATATTAGAGTCAAGCATGGCATTAGCTTAGAGCTGAGTTTATGTTTTCGTCTTTTTTCTGCCCCAGGCATTTCCCACAGCCTTCCCAGCTTCTCCTCAGCCTGTCAGAGAAGAATCAACCCCTGGAGATCATTTAATGCCAACCTTTCTCTCTGCCCATGATGAGCCTGGCAAGATCACCCTTGAGGTGACCATTAGGGCTGGGAGGTGACCTGATATCCTGGCTCAGGGGCCACCACCCCTACTCAGAGCAGTACAGGTGGACATCCCTGCCCCTCACTTCTTCCTCCTCGTTTCCTTTCCAGGGCTGGGGCAGGCTCTCACTGCTGCTTCCCACTTGGTTCTTCAGATCTTGCCTCCACTTCATCCCCTGGAGGGCAAGATGTCCCCCTGAGCACACAGCTTAGGACATGGCTTCTCCCAGGAAGACATTCCATGCCCACTCTGATTTACTCCACCACCTGGAGGCTGCACAGATGGTAGATTCCTCTCTTTCCTTCCTTGACTCCAGGTGCCCCTGAGCAGAGGACAAGCATCAGTGGGCAGCATGTCCAGAGGTCCACAGCGCCCCTAAATCAGTTCATCTTAATGCAAAACGAGCCATTCTCCAAGCCCCATTGTTCCCAGGACTACCCTTATCCCTCCATATCATCCTAGAAAGTGATATGCACAGACGTTCTAGGCTGGAATGAAAGTAATTTCCTGAAGAATATAATTTAAGTCGTATTTATGGCTTTTTTTCCCCCAATTCTCAAAGTAACACATAATCATTATTAAAAATTTAGAAAATATAGAGAAGTTTCAAGAAAAAAATTAAAATCACCTATAATCCCATTCCCAAGAGATCAGGTGCTTTTTGTGCTGTCTCTCCCCTCTCCCTCCCTGCCCCTCCTTCTCTGTGCATGCAGGGACCACACACACACACACACACACACACACACACACACACAGCATCGGCGTGACATCGTACTGACTGGAGAGATTGACATGCTCTTGTCAGTTCACATCGTGTCAGGGCACTGCTTGGCTCACTAAATATTTTTCACATTTCTTCTCCTCACCCAGTCTCTGAGTAGATGCGGCCCCGCCTTCTACTGAAGGCCTATCCCACCCCTATACCTCCACCCACCCCTCTGGCCTTAATTTCCACTGGTCCCTCTCTGCTAGCTGTTTCCTCTCAGACTATAAACACATTCAAACTTCCTCACCCTGAGAACAACACCTCAGCCCTGCATCCCCCCAGCACTGCCCACCACCCCCGCTCTCTGCACTGCAGAGAAATGAGGTACAGGCCCCTCCGGGTATGCAGGAAGCACCTTCTCCCCTTCCTTCCATGGTCTCCTCAGCTACTGCCTTCTGCCCTGGAATGACTCATGGCCTTTGCCAGCAGAAAATCACGACACCGGGATCTAGTTTCTCTTGCAGTCTGTCCCCATGCCCCCAAGTGCTCCCAGAAGCCTTCCCACAGAGCCCAGCTGGCATGTTCCCATGGGATTCCTTAGAGGGCTTAGGAGGCCTGAACCTCCTTTTGTGAAGCAGTAGGCAAAAGGGTGGGGGCTGGAAAACTTCCAAGCCCCTAAGGAACCTCAGCACTAGAGGCCCAGACTTTCCAAAGGTGAGCAGAGGTTAAGGCGGACATGGTAACATGTCATCACTGCATGCATGTGAAAGAACACTGATGGCAGGGAAAGTAGAATCTGTTAACCCTCAGGACATCACATTTGATCCCAATGACTCTCAGCAAGTGACATGTAAGCATAGATCAGTAATATTTAATCCAGCATTTTGCTAATTTTAAATTATATGTTCATTTTTATAGGGAAAATTCCCCCCATTCCTATAGTAGATGTGTAGCCATTTCACCCCATTACCCTGGGAGGCTCCATGGCCCTCTTGTTTAGAGCAACTGAGCTTGCAGCCCTGGTCTGTGGAAGGGCCCAGCCCCCACGGGCCCATCTCACTGAAACAGGCCCCACAGACTCAGCTCAGCTGAGCAGAGCACAGGCTCAGCACCAAGCTGGGGACTGGGCAGCTTGTGTGGTGCTCAAAGGAGCGGCATCAATGGGGCATCAGGCACATCCTACAGAGTTCACAGGCTGTGTGTCCGTGACACCAGTTTTCCATGAGTGCAAGGAATAAATGTCTTGAAGAAGGGGAACCTTTTCTAATTTACACAAAGGCCCTAGAAGGTCAGATTAGCAGTGAAATTGCCTGCACAGTCCATCCCCTTGGCTGTCCTCGGGGGAGCAGGGCTGCTGAGGAGCAAGACCAGCAGGCCATGAAAGGACAACCAGGGGTCTTGCTTTGGCCTTGAGCTGGTCCCCACAGCCTGGGCCTGAGCCTTGGGATTTTAGCTCCAAATGTCTAGTTTTATGTGGTCCCCAAAGGTGACCCATGCCCATCCTCCCATCCAGGTTCCCAGAAAGCAGTACCAGCTCTACTGTGAGCAGTGGGGGAGCACAATGTCAAAAAGACCCCAAAGTGCAGGTCGACTGGTCAGCATTTCCATTCCCTGAGGACAGTACCGTGGCCAGTGCAGCCAGTCAGCAAATGACGGCCTTAATGCACCGTGATGGCTCTTGCACCATGTTCACAAAGGACAGACCCGCCAGTCAGACCCGAGCAATCTGGCAGGCTGGAGACACCCGCTTGCCTGCCCCTGGGTTCCCACACAGGCATCCTTGGGAGGAAATAGCAGGGGAGTAGAGCCTGGCTTGTGCACCCTGACAACCAGCAACCCCCGCCCCCGACATCTCACCCATGTCACAGGACCCATCTCTTCAGTCACCTGCCTAGAAGTGCCCTGGTTCTCCCGGCAGCTGTGCTCACCCCTTATATGCAGGTTTTGTTCCAGGAATATTGTCATTTCCCTGGCTCCCATTTTCTTGAGGCCAGCCTCATGCTTGCCCCCATTTTTTCCTCCTGAAGGGCTGCTTGAGCAGCGTGTCAAGCAGGCTCTAGGGATGAACATTTCAGAAGTGATCTGAATGGTCATGGTCTCAGGGGAGGAGCAGACAGCAGAGACTGCAGCCAACCTGTACCAGCAGGACCAGCCATCTCTGCATCTCCCTGTCCCCCACGCCCAGAGATAAAAGCCCTCAAGCTGTTTATATGTGAGCGCAAGAAGCAGGAAAAAGGAAAAACAGGGAGGACTGACAGGCAGCAGCCATGCCTGATCCTGAGACCACGGACAGACTGGGGGGTGAGCTGCAGCGGGATCCCCCTCTCAGGCCCCCGTCCTGCCCCCAGGATCGCTGGAGTGCAGTGTATGACTGTACCTGGGTACTCCAAGGGCTTCGGCTACCGGACAGGGCAGAGCTTCTCCGGGGAGTTTGACCACGCCTGGAATGCTGTGTACCTCGAGGGAAGATGGCACCTGGTGGACAGCACCTGGGGCAGCGGCCTGGTGGACACCACCACCTCCAAATTCACCTTCCTGTAAGTACTTGTCTCCGTGCTGCTGGGCGTCTGGCAGGTGGAAGTGGAGGAGGCACCGGGTTGCATGAAGCAGCAAGTAGAGAAGACCAAGTGGGAGGGGAAGGAGAGCCAGGAGGCCCCGTATGCCCATCCCTCCTGGGCTCTGAAGTGGGCTGGCTCCAGGCCAATTGTGAGGGCCCAGACCTTTTTGTCACCTCACCCTCCACTGACAAACTCCCCTCTCCTACTCCCTATAGCTCCCTCCACCAAAGCACTGAAAGCCTACAGCGTTTGCCCCAGGCCACAGGTGAGGAAAGGCAGGGCTAACAGCCTTCCTTAATTGTTGGTAGGTTCCCTTCCAGACTTTGGCCATTACCCTCATTACTAGGTACAAATGCCAGAATGTTCTCTTACTGCTTTGCCCAGACACCAGGCTCTTTCTCCTCTCTGGTCTGAGTGAGGCTGTATCATATTTCTGAGGAAAGGGCTTCGGTTTTCTGGGAAGGGTTGCTATTGGCAGTGCAGGTGCGCTGTGAGGCACAGCGGGGCAGGGTGGCTGGGGTGCAGGGGACTGCAGCATTTCTGTCCTCTGGGGCTCTGGCCAACCTGGCCTTAACCTAAGACTACATACAATATTCTTCATGGATCATGATGTCTATCAGCAGCTCAGATCCGTTTTTATCTTTTTATTCAGAAAAATGAGTGTGCTGTCTCTGATTTTTGCAGCTTAAATCTTGACACTCCCACACATGAGACAAATACAAGCCATGTGCACACACATCCCACGTGCAGGGCTCGCGTACTCACAGATACCCTCTTTACCTCCGTTATTCTCAACACTGCTCCTCTCAGGCAGAGCAAAGCCTCACCCATCTCAGGAAGAGCCTCCCTGTTCTTCTCTCCATCCCTATTATTGACCTCCAGAGAGCCAGCACTCCAGTCAGCCCTGGAGAGCCACGGAAGGTCCCACCAGCACAGCTGCACAGCAGAGCAACAAGCTGGGGTAGATGGAGGCAGTGAGTTCAAGCACTCTGTCTCCCTCCCTTCCTCTGCCCCCACTGCCTGCTGTCCAGGCTATGCCTTTGCCCTCTTCAAACTTCTGATTGTCTTTGAGCATAAGGGAGTAAATTTCTCCCATGACAAGCCAGGGCCCTGAGAGCAGGCCACAGTTGCAGGCTGTGACCTTTCCTTAGAAGGGAAGACCCTGCCTTGGCTCCAATTTCTGGAAGCATCCACTGAGGAGGAGTCTCCAGTGCCCATGTCAGGGTTGGAGACGGCGCATCTTCCCACCCAGGGTGTTAACAGGACTGCTCCAGTGGCTGTGTTGGGCCCCCCGCCTCCCCTGCACAGAGCTGGCTGCTAACCAGCTTGTCCTCTGCTCCAGCTACAATGAGTTCTACTTCCTCACCCACCCTGCACTATTCATTGAGGACCACTTCCCAGACAACAAGAACTGGCAGCTGCTAAAACCTCCTCAATCTCTGAGGCAGTTTGAGAACAACATGTACCACAAGAGTGAATTCTACAACAAAGGGATGCTGAGTGCCCACCCGGAGACCCCCATGATCAGAACAGGTGAGCCTGGAGTAGGTGCTGTTGTGCTAGCAGCAGGGATGGAGCATTTTGCACTGTCCACCAGGACCCCACCTGAGACTGCGCTTTTGGGGTGTGCCTTCCATGAGCATGGCCTGTGAGCTCAACACAAAGCCCATGTGTGTGCATGTGGATGTGCGGGGGCTGCTGAGGCAGCTCAAGCCATCAGGCCAGGGAAGGGACATAGGCCAGATCAACAGGGACAGAAACAAGCTGGGGTAGATGGAGGCAGTGAGTTCAAGCACTCTGTCTCCCTGCCTTCCCCAACTCCTCTGCCTGGAGGGGAGGAGGACACAGTAGGCCCCCAACCTCCACACTCAGGCTCCACACTCAACCTCCACACTCCTGGCCCGCAGGCTGTGTCTTTGCCCTCTTCAAACTTGGTTTATTCTCACACTACCATAAACCAAGAAGCGGATGTGTCGGAAGGCTGAAGGTTTCCTAGCACCTGAGGGCTGGACACACAGCCTGGCCTGTCACAGGAGCCAGGGCTAGATGGTTCCTAGCTGGGTGAGTCTCTCTCAGTTCGTATAGCAGGGGAAAGGACTGCCTCGCCCCGGCTACACACAGCCTCAGGAGCTCAGGTGCCCAAAGCTACTGGCCTGCTGTGTTCTCCTCCCCAACTCCTGCTGGAGAGAATGCATGGCCTCAACAGAGTTGGCATCTGGGTGTTGGTGGTCCAACCAGAAAGGTCAGGGAGCAGCAGGGGTCTCCCAGGACAGGTAGGGGCAGTCCCACCCAAGACAGGCGGTTGGGGCAGGCTTCCTTAAGGAGGTGGGCACTGGGCTGGGTCTTGGGAGAGGGGAACAGACATAGTAGCTAGACAGAGGTGGACATGTTCTAGGCAGCAGAGGAGTGGAGAGGACACAGTAGGTCCCCAACCTCCACACTCAGGCACCACTAGATGAGGGCAAGGCTCCAGCAGTTCTGCATGGCCGGCTCAGTATCTCTCCCTTCTGGAGGCAGGACCCAGCCATTTCCAGTCCACTCCCCTGGGGCTGGGCAGTGTAAGATATGCAGCTTAGCCATCTCCCATGGCTGGCCTGGGCTGACATTTGCTCCCCGAACCCTCACCATGGAGCCATAGCAGCTGAGTATGTTTGCACCCTCTGAGGCATACAGGGGCTAACTTGGGGGCCAGAACTGGTCACAAAAGAGCAGGGCCTTCTCTGGAAAATTATCTTATGCCTCTCCAAGGCCTTGGCACCTGGTCCAGTGCTGGGCATACAGCCTGGGCACACTGCAGAGACCCATAAGTCTGGTCAACCCAGCCTCCCACACCTCAGCAAAGGACTGCCTGGCAGCACCATCTCTGCCACTGGGGCCTCCATTCGCCCAGGACAGGAGGCCTGAGCTCACACTGCCTATTAGCACAAGGTGCCTGTGGGTGGGCCCAGAGCCCCTGGGGAACTCCAACCCACACTGCAGGGCAAGGGGGCAGGCGGGAGCACAGGTGTCCCCAAGTTAGTTCCAACTGCCTTGTCCCTTCCACCACACAGTGGCTTCCTTTGCCAGGTTGCTGAGCTCTTGCATACTCTCCCAACTCCAAATACCTGGCAGCTCCTGCAGCCAAAATAACAGCAGGAAGTTGCTCACTTTGAGAATCTGTTTCCTGACTTACAACAGATGGAAGGCTTGTTCAACGTATCATAGGCCATTGAACCACGGGAAAGAACTGACCAGGCCAAAGCAACACCAAACTAATGTCACTGAGTGGAGTTTGCCTTTTTAAGAGACATAAAAATATAAACACCAGATTCTTTAGCTTACAGAAATCTAAATCTAAATATGATTCCATACATCTGATACGTATTTACAGAGTATTTCTTTGTGGTAGGTAGTTATGTTAAGAGTGGGAATGAGAAGGAAGCAAAATAGGGAAACTGAGGTGGGCAGAAAGGAAGGGAAGGAAGAAGGCACCTTCATGGATGGGGGGATGGAAAGCTGCCGGGCTCCAGGAGAGCACCACAACAGGAAAGGGGAGGAGGAGGAGACTGGGAGGACTGGAAGAGCCATGTGCTTCCACAGGGGTGTGCAGGGGTGGCCAGTCCTTTATTTCAAGTCTTCCCTGTCATTAAACACACTTTTGGCAAGATCCCTCTGGGTCAGGCACTGCTACCAGCCACTAAGGCCTGGCAGGAAATGAAACAGGCTAGCCCCTTTGCCACAGAGCCTACAGCCCAGCAAGGAGTTCAGACACTACACAAAGATGCTCATGGATGAACTGCAGCAGTGGAATGTTCTCCGAAGGAGAGCCAGGCTAGGAGAGAGGCTGCCAAGGAACTCAGCCTCAGCTGAGGGGTCCGGGTGGGCTTCTTTGCCTTCAGGGCATTTCCACCTTATCCAGGTTTGGGGGAAGTGGTGGGGAGGGAGGAGCAGGTTGGAGGACCCCAAGGCATGAAGGGATGTGGCCTTGGAGGACCTGAGACAGTGCTTGATGCTGGGAGGCAGGAAGAGACAGGCCTCTCCATGGGTCTCCAGCTTGAGGGCTCTGATGTGAGCCCAGGAGAGCCAGGTGGATGTTTTCAAGGGAGCCCTGGGGCTGCTGCATGGGGTGCTGGGTGGTGTTCCACAATAGAAGGTGAATTGCAGGGAGATCTGGGCCTCACTGTGCAGAAAAGACTCAGTTATGAGATGGAACAGGACAGGGGCCATGAGCAGTGAGGAGCTGAGGTAGCTTCTGCCCACGGAGCTGGTTCACAAGTGAGGGGAGAGGAAGGTTTTCACCAATAGGGGATAACAAGTCTGTTGATGTTGGTCACTTTCCTTTGGAGGTTACTGTGGGACAGATGTGGCATGCAGTGGCTGAAAGCAGTAGAGAAAACATGTAGACAAAGAAAATAGCACTAAAGCACAAAGCGTCACACAATTTCAGTGTAACAGAAAGGGAAGCGATGGCATTGGAGTTAAGCAGTGCTCAGAGCATGAGATGTGGACCAGGCCTCAAAGAGTGGGGGTCGCAGAGGGAGGAGAGAACTTGCAGGAAGGCATGGACCCAGCAGCCTGGGTCCTCCAAGGTCTGAGAGGCCTCATCATAGGAAGTCACTGGAGGGTGGGGGCAGAGGGAAGTCACTGGAGTGCCAGAGAGCTGACAGGCAGAGGGGAAACAGAGGCAGTGGGGGACGTGTGGGAGTGAGAGGCAGGTGAGGAGTGGGCAGCATCTGAGAGGGCTGGGACAGCTTTCGAGGTGGAGCAGCGTGAAGAAGGTAGAGGGGCTGTCTAAGCTGCCAACCCGACATGCTGGCCCATGTGGGCTTCTCCCATTCCTGAGGTGGGAGTTGGCATGGAATGCAGATTCAGTCTATTCAGGCCTCTGTCCTAGAGCCCAGGCACAGTGTTCTGCCTCCCCACCAAGATCCCAGACTAGGGGAAAGTTGCTCATGACATGGATCAGACAGCCTCTGTCCTTCCTTTGCACTCATCTGTGAACAAGGCTGTGGAGGTTACTGGAGCTAGGGGCGGATGACCAACTTCTGAGAGAAGCAAGGTCAGGCTCTAAGAGAAGCCACTGCCCCTCCCTATAGCCCTGGGAAGGACCAGGCAGGTGAGTTCTCATGGGCTGCAAAGACTGGAGAACTGAACACCTGTTCCTGAAAATCAATGACCAGAACAGATGAAGATGAAACCACAGGGCAAGGGGAGAGATGGCAGGTGGGCATGGGGGGGTTTGCAAAAGACCCTCCTGTACACACACTGACTCTTCAGGACCCATTCCTGAAACATGGCTAAGACACACCTATGTGAGAAGCATGGGGGTGAGGTGGATCAGAGAACTGCCCTGCCCCAACCTCCTGTGCACAGTCTCAGAGAGTAAAGCCATTCTCTCTAGGTTTAAGGACAATGTGTTGACATGACAGCGTTGACACTTACAGAGATGCTGGAGGGAGCAAGGTGAAAGCTAGACCTGAGATTTGGAGGAGATAGTGCCCCTCCTCCCCCATGACCCTCTCTGGACACAGGCAACCTTTATCTAATGTGAATCAGATGGGCAGGATGCACATGTACAGCTGGGGGCTAATTTTTCTAGAGGCCCCTCAGCTTTCATTTCTCTCAAAGAAAACCACCTGAAGGGAGCGGGGACCCTTCTGGAGGTGTGCTGCTGCTGGCTGATGCCATGCTCAGTGATGTCATATTGGTTCCTTAAAATGGATTGTGGTGAAAGTATTTACACCATGGAAATGGGCAAGCACTGTAAGTCAGGACGTTTTTCTCCCAGGGAGACAGCTGTGAAACATTTACCAGTATATCAGCACATGCTAGACCCATCTCTCCTGACCCCGACTTTCTCTCCACAGTGAACGGGAAGGCCACGGTCACCATTGAGAGCTGTGCCCCAACTCTGTTCATGTTCATGCTCAATGGCAAGCAGGAGCATGGGCTGCTGAGCCTCAGGAAGAACGGAATGAAGCTGGAGGTGTACCCTCCAACCATGGGCACTCACAAGCTGCAGATCTTCGCCAAGGGCAACTCCGACATCTACAGCTCAGTGCTGGAGTACACACTCAAGTGCAACTATGTGGACATGGGTGTCCGGCTGCCCGCTGAGCTTCACCAGCCCATAGGCCCCAGCTGGTTCTCGGAGCAGATGGGCATCATGAAGCCCTCTCACCCTGACCCTATCATCCACACCAGCGATGGGCGCTGCTCCATCAGCTTCAGCGTGGAGGAGGGCATCAGCGTCCTGGCTTCCCTCCATGGGGATGATGGCCCCATCACTGAGGAGACACAGCGGCGCTACATCTTCCAGCTGCACCGGGAGAAGCGGACCGAGCTGAAAGTCCAGCTGCCCCATGCCGGCAAGTTTGCCCTCAAGATCTTTGTCAAGAAGAGGCAGGAACCAGGAAACTACATCTTTGTCTTCAATTACCTCCTATGCTGTGCCAACACCAAGGTGAACTGGCCCATGTTCCCTGAGAGCTTTGGCAACTGGGGGCAGGGCAATGAGCTGCTGGAGCCTCTGTCGGGTGTGCTTCCTGCCAACCGGCACATCCCATTCAAATTGAAGCTGCACGGTATGGCCAAAGTCCTGGTAAAGGGGCAGGACACATGGCCCCTGACCCTGAACCACGAGGGCTACTGGGAGGGCAGCTGCAGCACAGCTGGCTGCCAGGAAGTCTATGTCATGGTGCTAGAGAATGCCAACCACAGCTTCTACTCCTACATCCTGAAATACAAAGTGAATGCCCAGTGAGGCCTGTGCCCCTGTCTTCCCATCCCAAAGGGCCAAGGCCAAACCTCCCCAGGGAGGGCTCAAGGGAAGTGCAGGGAGCCCTGGATACCACTGAGTCTGCATGAAATGCCTTCTAGGCCTCTGCCTCAGTCTCCCTCCTCTGCCACAGGAGCTGTGATTTTTGTGTTCTGAAGCCTTCACTCAGTTGTGGCTGTGACCGAGGGGACAGAAGCAGTGGCTCTTTAGAAGAAAAAGGTGCTATGTAAATCCAAGGTATTGTAAACTGTACACATGCATCCAGATGCCCCTTCTCATAGAGTGCTGCTGCTGCTGCTATTGTAGGGCTGATGTGGGAAAGCAGGGATATTGCCCAGGCTGACAGCTTTTCCCACGATGCTTCGAGAATTTCCTTCATGTCCCAGGGGACATGATTTGCAAGACTGAGTTCTCCTTGAAACACAGAGTCCCTTTCCAGCAACATCACAGTGCCTCTCCACAGCTCTGGCCCCCAGGGGATATTTGACTATCTTCTCCTCCCAGACCTGATCATCTTCTGCATCCCACTGCCTCTTCATTAGCTACTTCTTGTTCTTCAAGAGCCCTAGAAAAAGGGTGTGGTGAGGAAGGTAGCCAACCCACAACTGGCTGGAGGCTGATGGCCTCTGCAGTCCCTAAGTATAGTCAGGAATATGACAACCAGAAAATTGTGAGGAGGCTCCAAAGTAAAGAGCAGGCCATGCCCACTGTGGGTGTCCGGGTGGGAGGGATAGCCTGGGTCTCAGGGTGGAAGACCTCTGGCTCTGCTCTGAAAGGAGGGTGCAGGGCAGTCAGTTCAGTCTAAGGCCTGGAGTGCCCTCCAGGCTCTCCCAGAGCCTGGGCCTCAGGCCCCTGCCCAGCCTCCACAGGGAGCCTCCAGAGGCTGCCAGGCCCTTCAGGAGCCTTGCAGATAGCCCTGAATAAGGACCTGGGCACAGATCAGGTGGGTAGCGCAGTGCGGCAGTGCCGAGGAGACTCACACCTTAGCAGGGCTCTGCATGCCCCCAGCGTCTCTACCAGCAAAGCCAGGCTGGGAAGACCTCCAGCTGCATAGGAGCAGCTTTTGTGCCTGTCTCAGAGAAAACGTCCTATCCCATCTCCTTTCCACCCTTGTCTGAGAAGACACCCCATTCCAGTCTCACCTTGCATGGGGACAGCTCAAGTCCCCTTGCTTGCTCAGACCCGGCCTGAGAAGCCTCGGCTGCCCAGCTGGCCCTCAGCAGCACCTGGGGCTGGTGTTGCCATGGCAACGGAGGAAAGGCTGGCTTCATTGAGGGCAGCTGAGAGGGAAAGGCAAGCGGGGACCCGCCTGGCCACTGCAGCACCATCCTGGCACACAGGCATGCTCCCTGCCGAACTCCCAGCTTCTCCAGCTCCATGGCCCCCGCCTGTCTCGGTGCCCCCCAACCACTGAGAGCTGGCACTGCCTGGCACCTCTCCCCACTGACCCTCCACAGGCCTCCAGGCTCAACTACAGCCAGGGCCAGCTGGGACTCTCAAGGCTTCCTCTGTTGCATTCAGCCTCACATCCGTATATCCAACAAACGCTTACAGAGTGCTGTGGTAAGTGCCAAATCTTGGGCTACAGAGGTGAACCAAGGGGTCCTGGCCCCTGCCATCCGGAACACAGCGAGAGAAAACTGCCAGGGAGCAGCAGCTTCCCCTGCCCAGTCCTGACTGAAGATGCAGGCTCCAGACACTTCTGTTCATCATCCCCTGGGATCCCCTCCCCAAAAGTCCCCACTGCTACCCAGCAAGGACCTGGCCCAGGATCAGCTCACAAGGGTGCCCATCATCTAACAGGCCGGGGGCCTCGAGCATGAAGGGTGCCTCCCCTGGAGAGGCTGAACTGCCCTGGCCTGGTCCTGCGCCCTCCACAGTCTCTGCCACTGAGGCCACCCAGCCAGCCTCGTATCACTCACCTGAAAAATGCACAAAGGCCCCAGAGGCATAACAGCTATGCGCCACCACAGGGAAACAAGGGGAGTCTTACCCCCTGAAAACAGCCTTTTTGCACACCTTTGATTTTATGGGCTGAAAGAAATGTGTTTGTTTCGATGGCGCATGTCATTCACTGGACCCCGCGCTGGCTGCCTCGCCTAGTCCTGCTCTGCTGGAGACCTTTTAATAAAAGACATACCTTTTTGATATGCAGTATAATTAATCAGTACATCCTGGAGCATGCAGAGAATGCCACCCAGCAAAACAGGAGCTGTCCCCAGCACCAGAGAGGGAAGGCCCCGCCTCTCAAAGCACCGCAGGGCATCGGCAAGCCCCTCCCTCCCATTTAACCAGGCACCCCGTTTGTAGACAGCTGTAGGCGCAGTCAGAAAATCACCTGCATTTCTTTCCACTGAAGTAAAAATACATGAAAAGAAATCTAATCTTCATGAATTTTTACACGCATGCTGCTCAGGGTAGACATTCGGAGTTGCATTTTGAAGGCTTTTCTTCAAATCCCCATCTTTGTTTCCCGGGCGATGAGTCCCAGTCACCAGCCGAATGGCATGGGCGCCCCCAGGTGTCCGAAGTGCGGAGCTGCGGCTTTTGACGCAGAACTTGGAAATGCTGTGGAGGTGTTTATGTTAAAATCACTAGGTGCTTGCTCGTGGCTTCTCAGCACTTCCTCATGTGTACACAGAGGACATCTCTGTCACGCACAAGCTGTGAGGGCATCCTGGGGGACAACCTGGTGTGTTGAAAAGACAAAGGATGTGATGGGACTGTTTTGCCTGGAAATCACTTCTTGAAACAGAAGCACTGGACATAGGACTGGATGGGACAGCTTTGACTACACTCATTACTATACCAATGAAGGACTGGAACCTGTCAAACTCAGAGAGCATCTCCTTGCAAGTCCCAGGATGGCAGCCCCCAGGCCACACAGGGCAAAAGGGAACCAAGGCTGGAGGAGTGTGAGCAGAGGCACTGCAACCACAACTGCAGTTCACTTCTTTTCAGCTTGTTCAGAAGTGCCACCAGCTCAGCTGGACTCCATTTTCAATCTGATTATGATCATTGTGAGTTCCCCATATGTTACATTGTCCTATCAGGACAGCCTCCTCACTTCCTGCTGATATTAAAAGGAAATAAATAGACTAACTGAAGCATGAAGGATTTCAGCTAGACATAAAGAACTATTTCCTGTTGTTAAGCAGGAGGGACAAGCTGCCAAGAAAGTTTGCGAAATCCTCTTCTCAAAGGACTTGAAAAGGAGAAAAGTTTTCCCAGTGGTCTGATGTTTTAGATGCCATGTTCACTAGAAGGAGTGGGTTCTCTCCTCTCCAAACCAATTAATTCCTGAGATAGTCTAGTCTGCCTACAGCAAACAGAGGGTTAACGGCATCACTACGTCATTTGCTATTGGCAAAATTTTCAAAGATGGTGTGCGTCTCTAGCCCACCTCGGTTTATCCTAGGTCTATAATTTCTTTTCATTTGGAGTAAGTGGTAGGCAATCGAAAGAGGTGATTACTTCTCATAATGTGTGCATTGAGTTGCGTGGGCCGGTGGCTGCTCAGTGTGCTTTCCCCACGTTGTTGCTGGTGTTGTTTTTCAATAAAATTTATATTCATTTTTATCCAACAATGTAATTATCGATTCATTCTTAGGGATCTCACAAGGTGGGGAGTGGGGAGAAACAGGAAAAACACTTTCATGTTCAAAGAAAGCCCTAGAAAAAAATCAATGTCCCAGCCAGTTGAATGTGACGGTGAGATGCAAATGGAACGTCAGGCAAATAGCTATCTTACATTAAAGAAAACATAATTAGGTTAGCTCCAGCCACTCTGCCTCACATGCCTTTGAAGAACATGAAGGCACTGTTTCTTTCACTGAATCTTGTTTAACTTGAACATTTTAAAGTCAATCCTAATTTCTTTTTATAGGGGGAGAAAAAAAGTGTACCAAAAACACCTATCAGCCTACTTTTCTTTTATTTTGAATGTATGTAAATATATACTTCTTGATATTCATATACATGCAGAAGCTTTCCAGCAGGTCACCTAAGCAGATTATTCATAAATTAGACATTTAGAGAAATACAGAAAATGAAAATCCAGACATTTCTGAGAAGCTCCTGTAACCATGGAGACCATTCTCGTAGCTGTAGTGTGAAGGACAAAAAGAACTTGTGTTCCCAAATCTGGCTTCGTCATGTCTCTCACTGCTAGATCCACAAAAACGAGGCCCAGCATGCTTCTCCTTAGGAAGGAGACCCGACAGCATATTAAGAGGAAGTCAGAAGAAACAGTCTTCCACACAAAAGAAGGAGTAACTCTTGAGTTATTAGAACTGTCTGAAAACGCCATCCCCAACGCTGGAGTGGATGACCTCCAACGTCCCTTCCAGTCCGGAGAGTTTGTGATGTCGTGTCTCTGTGAACAGATGCTGGCAGGCAGTGGGCCCGGGGTTGTCAGTTATAGAACATCTGAAGGGCCCTGCTGTGGAACATCTGAAAGGCCCTGCTGTGTTAAGAGCCTGCCCCTGGAGCCCCCAGCAGACTGCACTGCTGGCTCCTCTCTTGCCTGAGGGCAAGGGGCTGGAGAAAGCCCAGCAGAGGGACCAAAGGAGAAAAACAACCTCTGACAGGATGTTGGTTCTGTCTGATTTTGCAAGCAGAACTAAAGGAAACTGAAAGTTAACTGGGATGTTCTCTTTGGGGTGTCCCAGGGGCATCTCCAAGTCAAAGATGCTAAACTGAAGTTTCTTTTCTCCCCCAGATTACTCCCAAGTCCTCCTGGGCCCCCAGTTCAGTAAATGCATCCTATCCAACCAGATAACTAAGTTAGACGCATCGCGGTCACTGGTGATGAAACCCAGTCCCTTCCGGATGTGTCTCACCTCCTACCTGCTCTCCCAACTCTACCTTCGCTCCTTTCCCACGACCCGCTACCACCCAGGTTCTCATCATCTCAGCCATATTGTTTATGTTTTATACTTCCTATGGTGAGATGATGCTGCCCAGCCCCATCACTGTCCACACTGGCCTCCCATTCATATATTCCTGTAGCACTAGGATGATCGGGTTGTTACGACACAGTTTCCAAGAAATCCTTCCAGAAGAAGCTCACCATCTCTGGAAAGACCTAATTGGTGTTAGGCACTAGCGGGAAAGGTAGGTCTTCAAACAAAAACTGGTTTTTATAGGGTATCAGGAAGAAGCCCTGTCTCTTTTTTCTCTAGAGACAAGGTGCCAAGGCCACCCAGCCAGCCTCATGTCACACCTGAAAAATGCACAAAGGTCCCAGAGGC